TTAGCTGGGCTAAGGAGAAGAAGAACTGGACTGTTGCCCAGTGGTCCAAAGTCCTCTTTTCAGATGAGAGCAAGTTTTGTATTTCATTTGGAGACCAAGGTCCTAGAGTCTGGAGGAAGGGTGGAGAAGCTCATAGCCCAAGTTGTTTGAAGTCCAGTGTTAAGTTTCCACAGTCTGTGATGTTTGGGGTGCAATGTCATCTGCTGGCGTTGGTCCACTGTGATCTTTGAAAAACTGATCACGGTGACAGAGCAGGGAGGAGAGACAGGGAAGACGGAAACACAAAGTCATGAGGCCGAGTGACGCGAAACCGCAACAGAATGCTCAAGCAGTTGCCACTATTCTCTTCCATTCAGCATCTGGATTCTCTCATGAGATTTTTGCCCCATATAACAAATCTTTCTGTCATCCCTACTTTTGTTTCATGGACATAGAATATGGAAAACCTCCATTTAATGCTTTTATGAAGTCATGGGTTTAAATTTCTGAGGGATTTGTATTTAATCCTGCACTGAAGGATCTAATAAAAGTGCGTTTCCAGAGGGTAAGGGAATTACAGACTAAGTAACACAGCTTTTTTTGTTCAATCTGCATCAAAAAAAAATCCACGAGTCACACTAACTTTGTGGTTTACCAGCTGGAAGACCCTGATGGCATCATTATAGTATGTTTAATTTTCATGACTTATTATTAATTTTATGATATTGCAAAATACAAATTCTTTAGTGTGTGTGTGTGTATATATTACATTAATGGAATAGCATTATTTCTGTTCTTACAGTTGTTCCAGTTGTCTAAGTTGTCATCATTTTTGTCACCAAGATCCCGTCCTTCATGGGGCCAAATGAAGGATCATCTTACTGCCAACATCCAGAACAAAACCCAGATTAGACTATATGCAATGATATAACTGTGAGTGGCTCAAAGTGATTAAAAAAGGTTTTAAAGAAATGTTCTCCAGTGGCCAGAAAGGCCTTTGTTGCACTTTGCATCAATTTATTTGTGTTAATATATTCATTTTATATTTGTTTGGAAATGTATACCATCTAAAGACTTCTGTATCTGGACCTTAAGGCATTTCCTGCATCATGTTATGGTTCTGTTTCAGCTTCATTCTTTTTAAAATTCCTATTTTTGCCAGTACTGAGAAAATGAATCTATAGTATATGTATCTTCAGGTTGATTAAAGAAACAAATTGTTATTCTGTTTTAAAGCATCATAATGTTTTCAGTCAAATAAAATGTTTGGTCAAACTTTGTGAATTTCCTTCATTTCACTCCAGATGGTTGATAATGGTGCTCCACATGGATCAATATTAGGCGCACTGCTGTCTACATACATAAACACTACTGTATTTACTTTCCAATTAAACATTGCCATGTCAATTTTTATGACAGTACTGTACAATCTCATGTTCCATCACCTCTACAGCAAACTAGGCTTTCTCCAAGTAACAGTTTGCTTTTGATGACCTCCTGGTATTTTAATTGATTTATAAACTGCATTAAACTTCCAAAAGATTGTAAGAAATTTTGTTGGACAGCAAGTCCTACAAAACTCATGCTGAACCCCTCTTTCCAAAACAAAAAACTGGATTTTTATACCAGAACAGAGGTGGTTGTGGCAAGGGTGGAATCTTAAAATTGATTTTGCAAGCCAACACTTTACCTTCATAAGCATTTTAAACATTCTAAAGCAAAATGCTAACACGGGGCCAACACAACAAACATCTGTCCAAATTACTCACATATCTTTAAAACGTCCAAATATGGATCTTACTGATTTATTCTTGTTTATTTAACATTTACCTGACATGTCTTATGTTCATTGATTGATGTTTTTTGATGAAACTATATGTAAATACATCTGACCTCATGTATGTTTATGTGTTTGCTTCTGTGTTTTGTTTTTTTTTTTTGGGTAAAGAATTCACACCTGAACCCGAATGGAACATGGTTTGTGTTTATATCACCATTGCCATCATCGCCGTACTGCTGCTGTCACTGTGTGTGGGGGTAGGATTTAAAGTGTGAGTAAACCTGCGTGTGTGTGCATACACTGGGATTATGTAATGAAATAGAAGGCAAAGTTACTCTAAAATCTGTTTTCTTTCTAGGAAATCAAGACAAGAGAAGAAGCCAGACCCTTTGCTCACCACGCTGTTTGCTCAAAATTCAGCTCTTACAGTGGCGGAAGCCTAAAAAGACAAGAAGACCTGCGTCATTGTCACTTTCACAGAGCACCTCTGACAGATGCTTTACTATTGCACTCCACTGCTCTAACTTTTTAGGTTCATAGCATGAAGCTCTAAAGATGCCACACAGTCACCTGACATTAACACTAATGCATTATGAAGTTACTACATTATACAGTACATTAGACCAAAGGTTACAATATATTATTTACAAAAAAATAGAGAACGTACAGAGTATTATATTATTTTAACATGCCTTACCATGCTTGCCTTTTTGTGTACATTTTTACAGAAATGCTTGAACTACTCTGAGATGTCACTATAACATTCAAATATTATGTTATGCCTAAAAGTATCACCCATTTTGGTTTTGCTACATCTCTTGACTGCTGATTTAGCCAGATGAGATTACTTTGCACATGTTGTATTCTGCAGTAATGTACTGGTCTTTGGGGATTTGTTTTGGATGTTTTACCATTTGCCAGATGTCTTGCCAGCTGAGTCAGTCAGCATAATTCACTTAATGAAAAGTTACTGTTTTGAAAATGAAAAATGATTGTTTTATTGATTACTTGCTTAATCATTTACTCATTGTCTCAACTCTTGCCAGTTAGTTCAGGTAGCAAAAATGTTATGTCTAAATTCAGTGCACACAGCTACAAGGTTTTGTAATGTCTTTGTTGCACACATCAAGATGGTGAAGTCTTTCATCACCTACAGAATGTATATGAGACTGAGTTGGGTGTATTTTTTGGATGGGTTAATAATGAAGACATGCATGTGTCATGGACTTTTAATGCCAAAACATCTTGTCAGGTTTTTTCTGTTTTTGTCTTGGTTTGAATTATAACTCAAAATGACAACAAAACTACGTTTTCATAATTGTTCATGTATTTTTGTTCAGATGTCTCAATTACAAAGATATTATAATAATGCACTTCACCTTTTCTTAACTTTTATGCATTTTGTGGATGTTGACATCGTTCTGTTTTTAAAATCAGAACTCTAATTTGCACAACATCCATCTGCCTGTTCATATCTTTGAAAAAAACAGAGGAATAAAGAAAAGGCAAAAGATGAATTCGTCACATGTAGCTCCCATATTCTGTGGGACTAGTTTGAACTCTGACAGTATGTGTGGGGTCTGAGATCCAACACGTTTAATGTTTTGCACTGTAATCATCAAAATAATTCCAACCAGTGTCTGAACTGCTGTAATTTCTCAGTATGAGCTTGGAGGTTGTGAACCACGACTACCAACTACTTTATGTTTACCATTATACTTCCTGTTATGGAAAGAATATGCTGTGTAATGGGATTTTGGGGTCTATTTCAGTATTTCATGGCCACCATTTTATTTTCTCAAGTCTCAAATGCCTTTTCTTCTATTAATTTGATGATCCCTGGGGCAAAAGAGGAGACCGCAGCTGAAGTGAGCTTGCTGAACTTCTCATGTAGCTGTTTCTCCCCAAACCTCCAAAAGAAAAAACAAGTTTCTTGTTACAAGTTACTTTTTAAAATCAAAGAGGCTCAGTCAAAGCAGAATTTAATAACTACATAACCTTGTCATAAATATCTCATCATGTACTTGGTTCATTCAGTATTTATGTGACATGATACGTTAGTATAACCAGTCACATAACATTCACTGCTGCACTTTGTTCATGTTTTTGTAGCTGCCTTCATTCATTTAAAAATGTTTTATGTGCAGCAGGGCATTAGAAATCATTTGCTCTCATACTCAGTACATATGATGTGCTGTCATTTCAAACAGTGAAGGCTTCTCACATGCAAAACCAGCACAAATCAGCTCCACATAACCAGAAATTCTGAATTGCAAATGCTGTTTCTCAATTTTCTGTTTTTATTTATACTCCTGGTGAAATTATTCGTTATGATGTTTACATAAAACCATTTATGTAGATAACTGCTTTTGATTGTACACAGTTAAGAATAGGTGACACTTTTGCTGTAGCTCATGAGGCCCTCTTATGTCCATATTATATATAGCACCCACCACAGTCATAAATGAATTTAAAGTTTCTGATATTTTCAGTGGATTCTCTTAAATTATTGTGTAAAGCATATCTATAATTAAACATGTGCATGTATTCCTACTTATATCTTTCACTTAACTTTTGACCAAGATGTTTTGGCCCATATCGATGTGTTTAAGTGGTTTTGATGTTCCTTGTCACCTTGTTTTACACAGGATATCTTATCACCTTTATTTGTGGGTATTTGCCTGAGGCTCGGATTAAAGTTGGACAAATTCTTGCCAATAAAATATAAGGAAGCTGTGTTCCTTGTGCTTAATTAACACACAGACTAGACAATTCTGTTGACATTATACAATACATATCGGTCTCTCCAAACTAACCAATCTGCAATACAAGTGCACACTGAACAGAGAATTCCCATTTTTTATGTTGGGAACTTATCCATCTGGCTTCATGCTGACTGCTATCTTTTATTGTTTGATCCAGTATTGACTGACACCCACAAGGTCAGCCAAGCAGCTGACTGCTTCCCACACCAGGTTACTTCACTGTGCAGGTGTGTGTCTATGGATAGTTGTGCCTGTCTTATTAACTTAATTTGGCTCATTAGCAACCAAACAGAGTTCTTATATAATTAATCAGTAGAAAATAAATGTGTAAAATAAACACACACACACTAGTATTCCATCTTTGTGCAATATTTGTGGGAACTAATCAGAACATTTAGAAGTGGACTCGCTGCTGGGTGTCTCATTGGAATGAGGTACCCCTGCTGCCTGACAGAACAGAAGGTGGATGGTGTAAAACTCACTAGCAAAAGAGAAGTAATATGACTGTTGCTTTCACACCAGGTTTTTCATGCACAGTGCTGAGTGCAGCAGCAGTACATGGGTTTATCAGGAGCCAGGGGTCGGCAGGGCACCACAAGCTGATAATGGAGGAGTAGTGAGCTAATTTTTTGAGATTAATATGTAATTTTGGTGGAGCCAGACTTGACAGAGGATTGGTACAAGGGCAATGTAGGTGTTACTTTTCAGTCCATGCTTTACCCACTGGCAGACCCTGGTCCTAGATTTCCACTGCAGGGGATCACATTAGGAGCTGGACAAGACCAGGTTTGCATTTATAATCTTATTAGATTTTAAATAAAACTGTGATTAGCTATCATTAAAACAATAGTTTTCCTAATCAGGAACCAAGGTCTCAGAGTCCATGTTCATCTCTGACTCCCAGGCTCAGTAACTGGAATCTGTCCCTGCAGAGTGAAAGTGTGCAGGGCCTGTCTGGTTACTGCACCCAGGGGCCAGGCTGCTCTACAAAGGGTCACATTATCTTTACTACAGATACAGTCTGTTGCATGATAGTCACAATCAAATGGGAATAAATGTCTTGTTTGCCCTAACAGCTGGAGAAAAGGACTTTCCTTGTTTCAGTTTTGTTTCTTCTGCCAGCACACAGTTGGTTGAGTTAATCCCCTGCTGTAGTGAAAAATGCTGTGGTCATATCCAAGTATTCTGAGAATATGCAGCAGCTGCGGAGACACAGAATTAATCAGCACAATCTTAACTCCATGGATCAAGTTTGTTTTGCTGCCTATCTTAACAAAAACTACATGTAAACAATTTCGTCCCTTAGTCCAGAGGCAGAATCTTGACTTCAGCTTCTGCTCTCCTGTATTATCAGCTTTGACCACTAGGTGGGGGCGGATGTTAGCATAAAATTGTGTAGGTGTGGTCAAACATGGTTCTCATGAAAGTACAGCAATTTAAAAAAAAGTCTTATTCTCATTACAGGGAAAATAAGCAACTGACATATATTTACTGTAAAACCTAAACAATGCCTTTGGTGACACATTTATGTGTATTTACAATGCCAGGACATTTAATGCAGGAGAGGCAATAACTGTGTGGTGGAGTTCTGAGCATGCAGACCCACTGACAGTTTTACCTTTACAACACAACAATGCCAGAGAGCGAATCATTTAGAACCCTCTTCTGCAAAATAAAAGCAAAGAAGACAAAGAGTTGCATAATATTGGATCAGCTGATCAACGGTGTGTTTATGTAAAAAAAGAAATTAAAATCTTCTTCTCCAGTAAAATACATTCTTTTAAAGTAACATGATCACATTTGTGTGACACTTTAGAAACTATCTCTCTTTGTGTAATCACATCACTTTCAAGTCAAATTTCAAAAATTCCCCAGAGGTCACTGCTATTATAAGACAACTACCGACGTGGCACCTCACACACTCAGTGCACTGTTACACTATTTACAGAAGCCGTGCATCGAGCTCATTCATTTGGATCTTTTACCCCTGGAGCTGTTAATTGTTGTGTACGTACTGGGGATTTTTCACACTCCCACAGCAGTAGAAACTGTGTGTCCCTTTACAGAGACTTGTTTTAACCAGCTGCATCAGTTTGGGGTAAAAAAAATAAAATAAAAAATGGTACCAGGAAGCTTCACACTACACTGCTTAAGTGTGGTAGTGCCTTCTGTTTTACACAAAACACCCAGGGAAATAATGCAGATCTTTTAAAACTTGCCTTTCATAAACATATTTAGAAAAGTAATTTTGGTGCACAGCTAAACAAAATGACACTAATAAAAATGCCCCAGCTAATTACAAGAAAGTGTCAGACAGTCATAAAGTTTTGTGGCTGGCAATAAAATGTTTTATGTTGCTAATTTATGTTTCAACTAATGAATCATATCACACACATCTAGCTGCATCTAGCTTATGGTGGTTTCCTCTGAGGAATGTGTGTCTTTGGTCCAACCCCTGATGCTTCCCTCTTAACATTCAGTCGGAAGTCAGTTTCTGAACCACTGGTGTCAGACGTCATAGTATGGAAAACAACATTTTATAATAATAATTCACACATCTAAAACTCTCAAAACTACAGTTGTTTATTCTGGATTTCCTGGATTGTTTCCTTAAAGACAAATTAGTGTGAGTTTCTAAACAACCGATAAGCTCTTGATAGCTCCAGCACAAATCAAAGCGTGACTGCTTTAAAATTCTAATATCAGAAAGCTTAGCTTAGCCCAAACATGTTCAGATTTTCAGTATTTATATATTGAAAAATGATGCCATAAATACAATAATAACAAGCTTATCCTCATGAAATGCTACAAAAAGAATAAAAAAGGAAATGTGGGGTTTCCATATTCAGCTACAGCACATTCAGGTCTGTGCTAATCTACTGTGCTGTTTCTCTCGAACAACAGAGATACAGGTCAATGTACAGTGGAAATGTCCAGCATCAGAAGCTCGTGCCCATCCAGAAAGCTCTCTGTGTTGTAGCTTTGCCACCTCGCTGCTCACACCAGCAGGGACGCACTAGCTACACAGGAGGAGGGGGTGGGAGTCCTAGCCATACAACCCTAGCCTAAATTAGGCCTTCAC